GGGGAAGAAAGGAGGTGAAATATATTGTGAGATGGGAGCTTCCTCTGCGTTTTAGCCAGAGGCAGACCTTTGGCTATCGGTAAATACTCCACTAGACTTCCAAACATTACATAGATTGCCCTGAAGCTGTCTAACTATTCTGCAGTGGCAGGGATATTCAGACACATTTCAAGAGGTGCTGAGGATGAGGATGAGGAAACCAAGGCCCCTTGAGGCTCCGACTCCTGCTCAGGTGGCTGGTTGGTGGTTGTCGGGTGGGTCTCCACCTCCTACACCAGTGCTTTCTGCTCCAAGACTGGTTTTTACTTTTTATTAATTTATTTAAAAAAATTTTAAAGGGAGGTACTGGCTTTATTTATTTATTTCGTAGTTTTTTTTCTTAAGTGGAGTACTGGGGATTGAACCTAGGAGCTTGTGCATGCTAAGCATGCACTCTACCACTAAGCTCTAGCCTCCCCCCAGTTTCCACTTCTGAAATGCTTGTTTAAAAGTGGACTTCGTTTTGTTCTAACTCAGCTGCTCTAGTTGAAGTGGGAGGGGGACCTCAGAGTCCTGTGCTCTGTCCCATCTGTCCCACTGCTCTCCATCTGTTCCCCGAGTTCTGGGCCTCCATGTAACACAGCTTGAAAACCATTGGACTTGATAACCATTGGACGAGAAGGGCGTGGGAGGGCTCAGGCGAGGGCATTGCCCAGCCAAAGGAGACTGCTGGGACCTTCTTCCGAGTCTCATGCCTCTCTCTGGGAGCATCCTTCTAGGCGGAACGACCAGTCAGAGCCCATCTCATCACCCTCTCCTTCAGGAAGCCATTATCAGTTTCCCTATTGGCACGGGAGCCCCCCACTCTGAGCTCCAGGACATCTGTTTCTCTGGGGCTCCCCTTGTCTGTCTTGGTGATAAACTGGATTGTCCAGTCTGAGGGTAAGCTTCGTGAGGCCAGAGATCACAGCATACTCATTTCATCTCTTCAGCAGCTGTTATGGCATATTGAACATAATAAGGACTCATTGAGCTGGATAACCTCTGATTTCTGGGTCTGCTAATTGTGCCACCTCAGGTAGGAGAAGAAGGTTGTTTAGAGAATATAATTAGTGGACAGAAATGCTAGGTAAAAATCTAAAGTCGTGATTATATTGTCTTGCTGTTTTCACAGTTAAGGGCATTTTAGTATGGTGATCAAAGATTGCTTATAATTGGTATAAAGGGGCAGCCTTGAGTTTTCCACGTCTGAAAGTGGATGACCACAAAATATCACTGAGTCATGTGCGAAGTCCTCAAGGAGGAAGTGTTTGAATGAATTTCACCGTTAAGGACAGCATGCCTGTTTCAAGTACAGCATTGCATTAGGTGCTGAGAGGCTGTATCAGACGTCTCTGTGTCCTGCCTCACATCCTTTCAACCCATCTTTTACTCCAGCCATTGCTGGGCAAGCGGCCTCACACAGGTGTAAGCAGACAGCATCTTGCACAGCCCAAGGGTTTCTGGGAACCATCAGTGGGAGGCCCACTGGAACTCATTGTATGCCACTGGGAAGTGCAGATGCGGGGTAGGGACTGGTGGTGAATTGCTCCCTCCTCTGTCCTTTGGGTGGCTGGTTCTGAGACATATTCTATTCAGCTTCAGAGGTCCCAGTGTGATGGAGCTGCAGTGAGCCACATAGGGACCACTCACTCATGCACTTTTTATTGGCTCTCTCATCTCATGTGTTTCACTCTTCCCTTGTTCTTCACTCCCACTCCTGGGATCCATCCCAAATAACCTACCGCACATATGCTGTGAGCAAAGATGCTGCTTTTTGTGGGGAATTCAGGCTAAGTCAGGGGAATAAAGAGTGTAATGGGATACTCTCCCTGTCCTCCAAGAGCGTACTAGCTTGGGGAGTCTTAGAGGAACATTGAGTTACTTTAGAAGGCATTTAAAGGCCAAAACGGGTGAGTCAGACAGGGTGGGTGCTACTGCAGATGGGAAAAGGGAAGGTCCATGTGAGTGGAACTCGTGGACTAGGCAGATCCTGAGAAGGAGTTGAGTGGGCAGGGAGGAAGGGCAGAGGCAGCTCCAGGGTTATGCAACAGTAGGTGTGAGCAGAAAAGCTGGCTTAGGGCTACCCTAGAGGCGGAGTGAAAAGTACATTTGGAGTGATCAGATTGTGTGCAACCTTGCATGCCAGGCATAGGATTCCTGACTTTTCCTTGATGTGATGAAAAGTAAGAATTGACTTATGAAAATTTGAAGAGTTGGGCAGTATAGTCTAGGGCAGGAAGAGAAAGGGATAAAAAACTGTTGAGACACAAAAGTGGCATCAGGTGAATGAGGGGCAAAATACAATGGCCTAATCAATTGCAAATGTCTTTGAGCAGCGTTCCATGGGGGAGGTCAAAGACCTACACCAACAAGGGGCATTCACTTGGAGGGCATGATGCTAAGTGAAATAAGCCAGATGGAGAAAGACAAATACTGTATGACCCCACTTATATGTGGAATCTAAAAAATACAGCAAACTAGTGAATATAACAAAAAAGAAGCAGACTCACAGATATAGAGAACTGTGGTTACCGGTGGGGGGGGGGCAATCTAAGGTTGGGTAGGGGTAGCAGGCATAAGCCATTGGGTGTGAGACAGGCTCAAGGATGGATTGTACAACATGGGGGAATTTAGCCAATATTTTGTAATAACTGTAAATGGAACGTAACCTTTAAAAATTATGTATAAAAAATTTTCCCATCCTTCAAAAAAAAAATGAGAAAAAATAGGGGGCTTTCACATCTGAGGAAGAGGCCTGTGTGCGAGGACCAGAGTGTTGTTTAAAGGGAAAAAACTCTCATGGACCCCCAGAGTTGACTTAAATTATTTTTATTATAATTTTATTTAAGTATAAAGTAAGGCTAGGTATAAACTCCTAGTACTTAAAGCTCTTGTATATCCATAAAACCAAAAGCAATTTACACATTAAAAACAAATAAAATGACAAAATCAATAAAATTCAAATTAACAACATTAATTTAATGTGATGGATGATTTTTTTGCTAAAATGAAATTGCTGTCGCTGAGTGAGCGTGGTCCCGCTGGCTTCAGCTTAGACTTCAAGTTCAGACCGCTGTGTGCCTTGTGAAGCCTCCATCCCACCACCTGTTTCTGTTTGAACCGCTGAGAAACCTTTGTTTGAACAGCTGGCGGTGATTGAATACATTACTTACCTACGGAGGCCACCTCTGTTCTTTTCTCATTAGCCAGAGACAATGAAAGTGGTGTTATTTGTGCCAACTCGGTCCTAAGCACCAAGCCAAAGTGGGTGTTGACCTTCGAGTGACAGAGGATCAGGGAGGGGGTCCTGGAAGGAAGCTGGAAGCTGGAGGTGGGGGTGGATAGAGGATTGGGAGAATACGACCCGCATCTCGCAAGACCAAGAAGGATGCTGGAATCCTGTATTTAGCTCAGGTGGGGAGCTGAAGTCCGTTTCTTCAATTATTCCAATGAAGTCGATTTCAGAGATATTTTTTCTAGAGTAAGAGACTCCTGTGTGGCATCCTGGGTGGAGTAGAATATTTGTGAAATATTACATTTTTTATTATCTCCCATATAGTTTCGTGACGTTACTGTATTGCAAGAAACTCCTCCTACGGAAGGGAGCTTAGTTGTAAAGTTCAGACCTTGGGCTCTCTGAGCACTGAGAACACTTCACCTGTGGCTCATTCCTGAAGCCCCCACCCCACAACTGCCCACTTTAAGGGCTTCTCTGCGTGGGCTGAGTCTTAGACTTGATGATGCCTCCAGCACTCACTGGACTCTAGAAGTCTGGCCTCTGTCTTTGCTCTTACAGTCGGGGCCCAGAGATAAGGTGGCCTGGATTTTAATCCTAGTTTCTCCATTTCCTGTGTGACTTTAGTCCCAGTTTCTTCATCTGTACACTGGGGATAATAATAATGCCTCCTTTGCAGGTCAAAGGAGTTAACTAACACATCTAAAGTGTTTAGGACACTTGGCATCTGCTAAGTGCTTTGTAACTGTGAATGATGGTGATGATGACGAGGTTAGTTAAATCAGTGACGTCTGACCCCAGGGGGAAGCGCTGGGCCTGCTGTTTGAAGAGTCTTGTACAGGGTGTGCAAGAGAAACAATTGGTTGACAACTGTGAGGACTCTTTACACAAAGAGGCAACAACACCAGGATATAAAAATATATAAAGGATCACGAACTTTCATTATTTCAGACCTTGTTAACTTGTGGTCAGATGAAGTTTGCCTTTGCAAAGAAAAGGTAATGAAGGAAGGGTGTGAAGAAACCACAGTGAATGCAAAACTCAAAGGGCCTTGTCCGAGTTGCTTCAGAAAACCTTACTTTCTAACAGTGTTTATCCTGCATTAAAAAATAGATTAAAAAAAACACAGACGTGCTAATTATGTGGTCAGTCTTATCTGTGTATTGGAGTGGGTCCCCAGGAACAATTATTTGGCACACTTGGCTCTCTTAAGACATTTTGCTGAGTCAGGCAGGCCCCGTGTTAGTCAGTCACTGGGAAGAGCGCCCTGAGACAGGCCTGGGGAAGGGACGGGACAGGGCGAGGAGACCAGTGGGCTGCTGCTGTGGGCAGCCAAGGCTCAATCTCCCCCGAGCTCGGGGATACAAGGCAGAAAACACTTCCAGTTACTCAGGCGGACCTGTGAGGGTGCTGTGCTATTTGTCCCCTGATTCTCCAAGGTCACGTGTTGAGGCTTACTGGGGTGGGGGAGGTAGCTGTCTGGCACTTGGTCTGTCCCTCATGGTCCCAGAGGGCTCTGGTTGATATGGACCTGGGTCTTGGACTCTTTTAATCGGTAGAAATTGATAAGCCAGACAAGAAATTCAGGCAAGATTTTATTGGGGCGCAGCACGAGGGAATGAAAATAAGCAACAGATTCCCTTGCTTGTTCCTCAAGGTCGAGGGAGCTTGTCCCTTAAATGGGGTGGGGGTGGGCGTGGGTCCAGGGATTGGGTCGAAGGGGTGGCTTAGGTGATGCTGCGTGCAGGGATCATGTGCAGTACCCTGCTTTTGCTCCTGACACCTCGGAAGTTGCAGTTTGGTTTTAGGTCTCTGTATCTTGTTCATAATTTGCCCCAACTGTGCATGCACAATTATTTTTAATCCTTTATAGTGACTTTATATTCTGTTGCCTGAGGACACGTTTGTTCAGGTGCAAGCACTGCAGTATAAGGTCCCAGGTCTCAGGTCCCAGCCCTGTGCAGACACTGCGGCAAAAGGGCCCAGGTCACAGCCTGTCTCTGTGGCCAGAGAGGTTCTTCAGGCATAGACTGTCAGGTCCTGGCAGGGGGAAGGCTGGGATCACCTGCAGGGACTCAGGCACCCTTGGGGATGTCAGCTAAGCCCTTTCCAAGTTCTGTGCTGTGTGCAACACTTACAGTTTTGGTTGGCACTCAGCAAACATTTTTATTAATGGTAGTATGCATTTTGCAGGATTACATGTCCTCAGTGGGGAATCCCTGTTTGGTCCTGTCCCAGATAAAGGAAGGGGCAGGATGAGATGGCAGAAGGGCTGGTGAAGGGAGCCAGGACCGTGCAGGGTGGGAGAGGCTGATGAGGCACCTGGAGCGTGAAGGGGCTTGACTCTGCCCTCCCTCAGATGCATCCATCACTGATGTGGGAAGAGGCTTCTCTTTCCCTCCTAGATCTGGGCAGGGCTCTGTCATCCCCATGGGATTGACAAGGTTAGCAGGGCATAGTCTGCTTTGGCCAGAGAGTCTAGTTGTAATGGTAAAGTGGCAGGTTTTAGATGGGGCAGGGGTGGGGAGTGAGAAGGGGGAGGTAGGGTGGAGATGGAACTTATAACTGCAGCTTTGGGAAGGGCAGTATTTTTCTGTGTATTTGTAGGCAAAATTCTGGGCGTATTAGCATTGAGGGATCTGGCTTAGAACAGGGAGGTGGCATCAACCATGTCTGGTGTATCTGGAGACAAGACTGGGTGGAGTCTCAATTCTGTTCTTCAAGTCTTGTGACCTTGGGCAATTTGACCTATGTTTTTTTTTCATCTGCAGAAGGAAGAAATGGTAATATGCAATTTACCAGGTTGTTGTGAAGATCAGGAGTGGCTGTGTCTGTTACAAAGCAGTGATATTCTTGTTGGTCTTTTTTGTGTGGATTATTTTAAATGTTTACATTTAATAAAATGCTTTTAATAAAATAATGGAATATAATAAAATTAGGCTATTTATAAGATAATTGCAGGTTTTATAAAAATGTTAATTCAGAGTATATATTAATGGGACACAATTTGAAATATAATTTTTATTAATACTTTTTAATCAAAGTAAAACAGTGATAATAAAATACAACTAAAAGTGTCCTAAAGGGAAAAAACCTAGTCCTTTGCCTCTCATTTCCCAAGCCGGCTTTTTAGAGTCAGTTACTTTGGAAGTTTTTAGTTGTTTCCTCATTTTAAAATGCTTGTGATTTACTCATGCTGCAATGTGTTAGGTATTACATATTAACTTCCTGATGTAGTTAATTGAATTTTAGTCCTTATATCCCACCCTTCATTCACTTCCCTCTTATTTTCTCGGTATAACTACTTCACAGTTTTTGGTTAAATCCCTTGTCCATATTTATATTACTATGACTGTGTAAATATCATTTACTTCTGAGCCAAATTGTGTACTCTGATTCCATTTACTTGTTGTACATTGTTATATTATCCTGGTGGTAATTATTGCCTTTAAAAAAATTTGCTCAGTGTTTTATGTATCTTTTGCTAATTCCTCCCAAAGATTCTAATGGATCTGCCAAACTTCTGTCAGTATTGTTTTCCAAACACCTGACAGGAAAGATGCTCTCTAAGTTCCATTTTCCACTCTCACAGCCCTCTTTCGTCCTGCTCTGGTGAGTCTTTCTGTAGGCTGTTAGTGCCGTCCTAGTGACCCCATTGACCTGAGGACTTAAATTGACCACTCTCCTGGTTAAAGTGCCTTTTTCATGGATGTCATGTCTTCTTTTTTTCTTAGTTTACTTTTCCTTTTTTTTTTTTTTTGTCTGTAGCACATCCCATGGTAGCTTCTTTAAAAAAGGTGAATTTTTGAGTCCTTGTTTGTTTGAAAATGCTTTTATTCTCTTGTTCTTGGTTGATAGAATTCTCTGCCTGGTCCAACTAAGTGGAGATTAACTATGTGTAGAATGTGAAACAATGAATCCCCTGGTTTCTGGATAATGAGACATGTGATGCTGCTTAGATGGTTTCTTTGTATGAGACCTGATTTTTTCCCCCCTTGTGTATGTGACATCCTCAAATCCTGAACCTCTCCAGGGCTCTGTGGTGGAGAATCACTCCTTTCTCGTTGGCATCCGTACTTGTGACGTGCTGGGGTTATAACTTCTTCACACCGTGTACTCAGGTACACTCTTCCACTTGCTCTCTTTCAAAAATTTGTTGAAATCTTTCACGCATTGATGTCTCCTTTTCTGTTCTCTTTGTTTTTTTGTGAGATGGTGATTGTCATTATTTTTTTGTTAATTCCTTTCCTTTCCTTGGTGGAGTTCATGAGGAAGGAAGGAAAAACAAGTGCATTTGGTCTGTTCTGTCCAATGAGAAATCTGTTATCATGAAAATTATTATTAGAATTATTATTTACTATCATTAAATGAGAACATCCCGAAAAATTCCCCTGGAGAACTGAAACAGAATATATTCAGGGCCTGCTGTTTAATAAGTAAATAAGACTTTTGCTGGGAAAGAAAAGAGAGAGGCAGGACAGGGCAAAGGAAAAAAAAAAAAGGAAGTATGGAGGAAGAGGTTTCAGTAGAAAAAAAATGCCTCATTGAAGGACTTGATACAAGAAGGAAAAAAAGTTGAAACCCAGGTCTGTCCTGTCTAATGCTGGTACTTGTCCACCGTAGATCAGGGAATTGTTACTGATAATGGATTTATCAACGAGTCATGATTGCAGTGTTACACATGAGAATTTTATGCTTGTCAGCCTCAGAGGGTCCTAAGAACACAGGAGTGTGAAACAAAGGACATTGAATATGCAAAATACATTCCATCTTTTCCTAGGAAAGGGGCTTCACCTCCCTCAGAAGAACACCACCAGCATCCTGCAGGATGAAATGTAGGGTCCAGCGGCACATGAATGTACTGAATGGAGACTGTAGACTCAACCTTAAATGTGATGACACAAATGTAATAGATCATGATAGTAAGGGAGAAAATTACAGATAAGGGCTTTTTCCTTTTTCATCTTGTCCATTATTTGTCTTCCTTTTTTTAAATCACTTTTCTTCTTGGCGAATCTGAAGGCTCTAAATGAAAGATAACGGTAATAGCTTGTTTGTTTATGTAGCTGTAAAGATAACCATTATAGCTTGTTGGTTTCCATAGCCAAATACAGTATTTCTTGCCCATTTACAGGTGAATCAAGGCCATTGGTCAGAATGAGAAGAAAAATCTAAACTCTGGAAATTCTAGTTTTGGTCAGGTAGGACCAGAGAAAAAGAGAGGCAGGACAGGGCAAAGGAAATGAGAAAGGGAAGTATGAAGGAAGAGGGATTTTCAGGAGAAAAAATATGCCTCAGAGATGGGCTTTATACCAATATATCAAGAAGGAATTTCAAGACTGAATTTCAGTCCAGTTTCACACTCTGGTTTTTTATTAAAATTTTTTTTTTTATTGAAGTGTAGTTGATTTACATTTAGTTTCAGGTGTACAGCAAAGTGATCAGTTATATGTACACATGTTTTTTCTTTCCAGATTCTTTTCCATTATACGTTATTATAAGATACTGAATATAGTTCCCTGTGCTATACAGTAGGCCCTTATTGTTTATCTATTTTATAAATCATAACGTGTGTCTGTTAATCCCCAACCCCTGCCCGTTTCCCTTTGGTAACCATAGTTTTGTTTTCTATGTTTGTGAGTATATTTTCGGTTTATAAATAGAATTTGTATGATTTTTTTTTTTTGGATTTCACATATAAGTGTATCATACGATGTTTGTTCTCTGTCTGACTTAACTTCACTTAATATGATAATGTCTAGGTCCACTCATGTTGCTGCAAGTGGCATTATTTCATTCTTTCTATGGCTGAGTAGTATTCTATTGTGTGTATATCTCTATCTCTATCTCTATATATCGCATTTTCTTTATCCAGTCATTTGTTGATGGGCATTTAGGTTGTGTCCATGTCTTGGCTATTGTAAACAGTGCTGCTATGAACATTGGGGTGCATGTGCCTCTTTGAATTACAGTTTTCTCTAGACGTATGCCTAGGAGTGGGATTTGCTGGGTCATACGGTAAGTCTAGTTTTGGTTTTTTAAGGAACCTCCATACCTCCTCCATTCAGTCTGTTTGATGCCCAACATTCCGATGATGCCCCTGGGTCTTTTCCTTTAATCTTTTTTTTAAATTGAAGTATAGTTGGTGTACAATGTTGTCTTAATTTTTGGTGTATAGCATGGTGATTCAGTTACACATGTACATATATTCTTTTTCACATTCTTTTTGTTTATAAGTTATTACAAGGTACTGAATATAGTTCCT